GTTATTATTATTATTATTACTATTTCTATTATTATTAGTAGTATTAAGTATTATTATTATTTTCATTATCATCATTATTATTAATATTATTAATATTATTATTATTATTATTATTATTACTATTATTATTATCATTATTACTATATCATTATTATCATCACTATCATTATTATCATTATTATCATTATTTGTGTGTGTGTGACTTGTGTTTATTCCGATGCTTCTACAAGTGCTCACATAATTTCCCTTTTCCTTGAATTTTCGGATTTTTTTTTCTAATGCTATTAATATCGATGCTGTTAGTATCACCGTTATAGGTTAGGTACATTTTTTATTATGTTATTAACTAATGGTAACATAAAATGAGATGAATATTTCCGAAAATCAAGGAAAGGAGTAAATAAGTTAGACAAAGAGAACTAATGATTGACTCCTATGTAACTAAGCGCTGGTGGAGCCATCTATGTGTAAATGCAGCAACTAAACGAAACTCGTAGTGGGAATCCCCGACACCAGGGTGTTGATAAGTAGATAATCTCGGTTAGAAGGATAGAAGCATCCTTTATGTAAGAACTAAAACGATACTTTCCCTCCGCTAGCTACCGGGAGACCATTTGAACAAGGCAGAACACCCGTTAGAACTGCTCGCAGCTGTCCCAGCCAGTGGTTTGGTGCAACTGATGATTTTGATTAAATGGGAGATGTTCGCTGCAGTTAAGACAGTTAATTCTGTGATTTTTTTCTTTGTAATATATATCTAATGGTAGATGTTCGTTGCAGGCAAACAAACGACACAGGGTTAAGTCCGTGATTTCTCTTACATATTCTCGCACGGATATCTATTGCATGCCATTAATTCCATACGTAATTTCCGGGTGGGGAAAGCATAAGCAGGTGGACAAGAGTATCGGAGCAGGAACTTTTGAAAACATCAAAGGACCGGAAGAGGTGGAAGGCCATGATCGCCAACGTCCTTGTGGAACAGGGCATGTATAGATAGATAGATTCTCGCACGGATATCTATTGCATGCCATTAATTCCATACGTAATTTCCGGGTGGGGACTAGACTGAAAAGGAAGAAATAAAGTATAGGTCCTCCTCCCGTTAAGTGGAACTGCGACCACGGAATTTTTTTGGATTTCTACAGCGTTCATCTGTCTCTGGTCACCTTTTGCATTCAGTGACAATACGACATAACAGTTTTGTTTGAGAGAAAGTTTACCGCTGTTCCGGAATATCCTTTTAAGAGACGGTATTGGTAAAAAAAAAAAAAAAAAAAAAAAGAGAGAGAGAGAGAGAAAAAGATGAAGAAATGAGAAAAGAAAAGGCGAAAACGTTCAACCTACAAAAATCTACGGGTCATCCCGCCGTGGTTCACTTACTTACTTGTCGCTGTGTTTTTCTATTTATTATTCTATCTACATTACTGTATACTTATTTTTGTTACTGATTTCAACAGCATGCTATTTATAATGTATGATTTGAATAAGTCTAATATCTACATTTTTTTAATGAATTATGCAGAATGTATACATATCTACGAACATGCAGATGCACACATACACATGCATGACTATTAACTCATATAGGCTAACACAATAACACCTACCCACACACAAAAAAAAACATGCACATACAAAAACGCACACACACACACACACATAAAACACACACACTCACAACACATAAAACACACACACACACACTCACAACACAAAACACACACACACACACACACACACACACACATGCAAACACACACACACACACGCAAGAATAACCCTTCAGTAAAGCAAACTACAGCCATGAAACCAGACAGCAAAGCCATTTAAGCAGCAATACATCTCCCAATTCGTGCAACAACGCCACTTTGCAATCTCAGCACGCGACAGATTTGCAACAGCCCTCTCTGCACTTGGGCTACGAATCAATTCAGACCAACCTGTGCTTCTCTTAACTTACCTTAATCTGTAACTTTCCTCGGAATGTTGTGACGAAGTTGAATCTCTCGAGGTGCTTGGCGCAGATCTCGCTGATGTGGATCTTGCCGACCTAGAACAAGGAGGCGCGGGCTTAATTTTGCTGTTGGTGTTGTTATTGCTGTTGTTATTTTTGTTGTTGTTGGTGTTATTGTTGTTGTTGTTGTTATTGTTGTTATTGATGTTGTTGTTGTTATTGTTGTTATAGTTGGTGTTGTTATTGCTTTTGTTATCGTTGTTGCTGTTATGAGTAACACCAGTGTTATTGCGGTAAAATTGATTCTTATTCTTTTTTCTTAGTCTTACTATTATCATTATTATTGCTGTCATTATCATTATTATGACTTATGATCATCACTGATTTTCCTTATCACTATCGTTATCATTAATATTATGGCCACCGCTACCATTACTGTAGGTATCATGAACATTATTATCATTACCAAAATCAAATGAATCGAATGGGATATCAATTATAAAATTCAAATCGCAAAAACTAGAGGATAAACGAAAATAAATTCAAATTAATTCATAAAATGAAACAAAAGAAAATTGTTTATCAATGGGAGTCAGTCTGACTCTCTCTCTTTCAGTCATAAGGATGAAATGCAAATTGAGTTATTATAAAACTAGTAAATCATAAAAAAGCATACATCAAAATACAAAAAGTCAACAAATCTTGAAACGAGTTTACACACACACACACACACACACACACACACACACACACACACACACACACACACACACAGATATATATCTATATCTATCTATATATCTCTATAATCACACACACACAACCCGGTTAAAAAAAAGGGAAAAGAAAAAAACATAAATCAAACAAATTAAGCCAATAACAACAACAACAATAGCAATGATAATCCCCTATCACAAAAAAAAACAAGACTGCCAAACAAATTAAGCCAATAACAACAACAACAACAATAGCAATGATAATACCCTATCACAAAAAAATAACAACACTGCCAAACAAATTATGCCAACAACAACAACAACAACAATAGCAATGATAATACCCTATCACAAAAAAATAACAACACTGCCAAACAAATTAAGCCAATAACAACAACAACAACAATAGCAATGATAATACCCTATCACAAAAAAATAACAACACTGCCAAACAAATTAAGCCAACAACAACAATAGCAATGATAATACCCTATCACAAAAAAATAACAACACTGCCAAACAAATTAAGCCAACAACAACAACAATAGCAATGATAATATCCTATCACAAAAAAATAACAACACTGCCAAACAAATTAAGCCAACAACAACAACAACAACAATAGCAATGATAATACCCTATCACAAAAAAAAGCAACCACCACCACAAACAACGAAACTCACCTGGCTGTTCGTCTGCATTCTCGAGGCAGTGTTCACGGTGTCTCCGAAAAGGCAGTACCTCGGTAGTTTCATGCCCACGACGCCCGCCACCACTGGGCCCACGTGGATACCTGGTAGGGAGGGAGGGAGAGGTGGGGGTTAGATGAATTGTTGAGTATGAGGAGGGGGTATGTGGAGGTATGTGGGGGGATGGTGTGGGTATCTTAAGTATGAGGGGATTTGTGTGGGTCTGTAGGGTATGAGGGGAAGAATGTGGGTCTGTGGGGTGTTAGGGGTATGAGGGGATAGTGTGGGTATGTGAGGCATGGTGTGGGTATCTTTACCGTGAGGGGGTAGTGTGGGTATGCGGGGCATGGTGTGGGTATCTTAAGCATAAGGGCAATGGTGTGCATATGTTGGGTATATGGTAAAGTGTGGATATGTTTAGACGTGCGTGTGAATGTGGATATAATTTGAAACTTATGTTTAGGCTTATGTATATATGCAGACATAGGTATACAAAAAAAAAATAAAGAGAAAAAGAAGAAAAAACTTGCTGACAAAGCTACACATACTTATAAAGATAAACGAAGACAAATACTTAAGACACCCACAACTCCGCTCGCACATACACAGAACACAGCCCCCCCCCCCTACACACACACATACACTATTCCTTTAACTTACATAAACCTCTCCTCCCGCTGTGTGTCTGTATGTGTGTCTAAGTCTTTCTCTGTGTTGCTTTCTGTATATGTCTATTTATCTTCCTCCCTCCACACTTTCCCTCATTCCCTTCTTCCTTATATCCCTCTGACTCTCTCTCTCTCTCTCTCTTTCTTTCCCTCTCCCTCTCCTTCCCTCCCTTCCTCTCTCTTCCTCCTTCCCTCCCTCCCTTCCTCCTTCTTCCTCCTTTCCCCCTTCCCTCCCTCCCTACCTTCCTCCTTCCCACCTTCCCTCCCCCTTCTCCCTCTCCTTCTCACCTTCCCTCCCTACCTCTCCCTCATTCCCACCTTCCCTCCCCCCTTTCTCTCTCCTTCTCTTCATTCTCTCCCCTCTCCCTCTCCCTCATTCCCACCTCCCCTCCCCCCTTTCTCTCTCCTTCTCTTCATTCTCCCCCCTCTCCCTCTCCTTCATTCCTCCCTCCCCCTCCCTCTCCCTCTCCCCACTCACCAATTCGCAGGTTATGTGTCTTGCATTCTTCACTCTGCCTGATCATGTGAAGCGCGAGGGACGCCAGCTGGGCACAGTGGTCGGGCTGGTACTCCGGTGCCCCGCCCACCACCATGTACACGCCCAGGACTGTCTCCACCTGGTGAGAGAGGAGAGGGTGAGAGGAGGATGAGGAGAGAGGGTGAGAGGAGAGGGTGAGGAGAGAGGGTGAGAGGAGAGGGTGAGGAGAGAGGGTGAAAGGAAAGGGTGAGGAGAGAGGGTGAGAGGAAAGGGTAAGAGGAGGATGAGGAGAGAGGGTGAGAGGAAAGGGTGAGGAGAGAGGGTGAAGAGAAAGGGTGAGAGGAGGATGAGGAGAGGGTGAAGAGAGAGAGTGAGAGGAGAGGGTGAGAGGAGGATGAAGAGGGAAGGTGAGAGGAGAGGGTGAGGAGAGAGGGTGAGGAGAAAGGGTGAGAGGAAAGGGTGAGGAGAGAGGGTGAGGAGAAAGGGTAAGAGGAGGATGAGGAGAGAGGGTGAGAGGAGGATGAGGAGAGGGTGAAGAGAAGGCGGGAGGAGAGGGTGAGAAGAAAGGGTGAGAGGAGGGTGAAGAGAAGGTGAGAGGAGGGTGAAGAGATAGGGTGAGGGAAGGGTGAAGAGAAGTTGAGAGGATAATTAGAAGAGGGTGAAGGGAGGGTGAGAGGAAAGGGTGAAAGAGGATTGTTGGAGAGTGAAGGAAGGATGAGAGAGGAGAGGGTGAACTGAGGATGATAGGTGGATGAAGAGGGAGGGTGAGAGGAAAGGGTGAAAGAGAATGGTAGGAGAGTGAAGAGGGTGAAAAGAGGGTGCGAAAAGGGTGAAGGGAGGGAGGGAAGGAGATGAGAGTGATAGGAGAAGGTGAAGGAAGGGTGAGAAAGGAGATGGAGAGAGACGAAGGTGAAAGAAGTTGGTATATAGGGTGATATGAGGATGAAAGTGAGGGTGAGAGAAAAGAAGGTAAGAAGGTTGAGAGAGGATGAAAGGAGAGTGAAGAGAGGATGAGAGGAGAAAGTAAAAAGAGCATAACAAGACAGGATGAAAAAAAGGATGCGAAAAAAGGGTGAAAAGTAAAAAAAAAATAATAATAATAACGATGAGAGGAGAAACTGCTACCTTCAATACCACTTTATTCCCTTTTTTATAAATAAATAAATAAATAAATAAATAAATAGACAAAAGCAAGTCAAACGACAGCGAATCGGAGTACTCCACAGACCGGATAAGTTGCCAGTTCGCAATTTCCTGAGACTGTTATATAGCCCATTTAAGGACATATTCAGCCTCAGTGCAGATCCTGGGAGGGTTAGGAAAGGGTAGTGGATTTCGATACAACTGTGATGAATATGTCTACAGAATAAATCGCAGAGGAAGATGAGAGAAGAAAAGGATATGAGAGAAGGAGAGAAGAGAACTGAAGAGACAAATTGAACTAGATCGTTTTTAATATATTGCAGAGTGGTTTTGTGTGTTATGAAAATGATACCGCACTTTCTGGAGTTCTAATATCATCCGGAAGTAGCAATTTAAATACATTACGTTGAAGATTATATACAGTAACTTCAGTTAGTATAAAAACAGCAACCAAACAACCTATCCATCTATCAGTCTATCTCTCTACCTACCTATCAATCTATCTATCTATCTATCTATCTACAATACGAAAAGACCGAATACACGGACATTTCGTACATTTAAAGCAAACCTTTTTTTTACAAACCAGCATCATGTAGGCCTATTAATGGAAATTCGGACAGAGCCCTCACATACGTAAACATCCTTAATAATTTAATATATAATAATCCTAATGTGTTTACCGTTCTTTGTTTACCTCCCTCCCCCCTCCCCCCCGTATTATTTGAGCTCGGTCTTATTAACGTAACGTTACCCAGTGCGTACGGGAAATAGGCTCGTGAAATAGGGTTGTAAAATAGGCTTGTAAAATATATATATACTCTATTCCTTGTTCTTGTTACATATACATACATACATACATACATATATATATATATATATATATATATATATATATATATATATATATATATATGTATATATATATATATATATATATATATATATATATATATATATATATATATATATATATATATATATATGAAAGATGGAATAATGCAGCACCGCATTGATATAGATATATAACAATCCAAGGTCACTCCGGGTATGAGACCGGAGGGCCAGTACTAAACCAACCATGCCACGCGATCTCCGGTCTTATACCAGGAGTGACCTAAGTTCGAGGCCTGGTCAGGGAGGACTGTTATACACACACACACACACACACACACACACACACACACACACACACACACACACACACACACACACACACACACACACACACACACATACACACACACACACACACACACACACACACACACACACACACACACACACACACACACACAAACACACACACACACACACACACAAACACACACACACACATATATATATATGACTTCCTTCCCAATCCTCCATTTACTTACCTTGAAGACGGAATACTGGTCAGTTATGTTATCAATCGTCTGGTAGACTTTGTTGACGGTGTGGGTGAGGTCCTGGTCCTCCATCAGAGACACTTCGGCGAACAGGACGGACACTTCCTCAAAGGCCTGAGAAGGAGAAGGAAAATTAGGGAAGGAAAATTGTGGAAGGAATATTGGGAAAGGAAAAATGGGGGAGGAAAATTAGAAGATGAATATTGGAGAAGGAGAATTGGAGAAGGAGAATTGGGGAAGGAAAATTAAGAAAGGAAAATTGGGGAAAGAAAGTGAAGGAATATTGGAGAAGGAAAATTAGAGGGGGGGGTATTGGAAATGGAAAAATGAAGGGATATTGGGGGAAGGAAAATTAGAGGGGGGGGGGATATTGGAGAAGGAAAAATGAAGGGAAATTGGGGAAGGAAAATGGGTTGCTCCTATGTTCTCTCCCCTCACTTCCCCCTATACCCACGTTC